AAAAAATCCTTAAATTAAAGGTAACTAAATTAAAATTTTGATTTACTTATGAGGTTAAAAAACCTCAAAGTCAAGAGGTGTGACTATCGTCCATTATGACATCATTTTACGGGTCAATAAACATGTACTCAAAAACACGTTCAAACATTAACATAGTATATACTAAGTGTTAGATATGATTGAATAATTATTGTACACTATTGAATATATCGAGATCATTTAAAAAAGTATTTTGAAAGTTACGTTTCCAAGTGAGTTTCCACTGTCAAAGACATGGACAAAAAGTAGTTGCCTGAGGTTTTTTAAGGACAATCAGAATAACATCTTTTTGTAGAACTGTTTCGGTTGTGATAACCCATGTTATATTACTTCAGGAGCTATCGCCGCGACTTTGCCCCCACGCAATTAAAAACTTAATTAGTAGCCTATGTGTTCCAGATGTTCTACATCTGTGCCAATTTTCAGCAATTTCCATGCAGCCGTTCTAAAGATAATTTCTAACAAAACATCCTACTAAACATTTGCAATGATATTAGTAAGATGTAAGTTGAAATATATTATTATCATTTACTAGCTGTTGCCCGCGACTCCGTCCGCGTGGAATGAAAAAAAAAACTTAATTAGTTGCCGGCAATTACTTGAATTTTCCTCACTTTTTCAACCTTCCCTAGACCTCCACGAACATTTCAAGGCCAAGATAAGATAAATTCAGCCGTTCTCGAGTTTAAGCGAGACTAACAAACAGCAATAGATTTTATATACATAGTTTAAGTAATTTTTTATGATAAACAAGCGTACGTTCCCACCTGATATTAAGAGATGATATCGTATTGCAAATGATTAGAGTTAAACATTCTCTTGGGGATAAACGACAGACTAATATCCTACGTTTAGCGACACGGTTGACGCTAAATCCATGTTTTATTAATAACCAATAAAAATTACAAGTAAACCCTAATAATTATTTACATCTGTTGTGCAATTTATCCACAGTAAGCGAATTAAACGCAACTAATAGGTTACGATGAAATTGCTTCGAATTATAAAACTATCTTTTGCAGGCGATTTCGTCTACATGGAATTAATTATCAAATGTTAATTTAAACAACGCAGGATGAAAAAATACCATCTGTATTAAAGGCACCGCTAAAACGTTCAATACAAACAATAAAGTTTCTTTTAGTTTTACTGCAAATAAGTACAAGTAAATACGCGGCCTTCGAAATTGTATTCATTAGTAATTTCAATTAAACTTGTTCTACTTTCAAACAATTAAAATCGAATCAATGCGATACTAATAATCCGGAATCCGTATTGAATGCGGGAATTTACTATTGAACCTAATTACGAGAGGTTCACGGATGCGGGGAGGTCGAGCGTTGCTGTCGAAGCCAATGTCTCGTATTGTGCATTGTTCTGTGGCCGTAGATGCGAAGGGCACTTCCTGTGGTCAACAGCTGGTCTTGGCCTATACGACAATGAGCCACGATTTGCCGCCTCAATAGACACGCGCTAATTAGATAAGTAGCATTTACAATTCACTAAATTGTATTGACCATGGACAGGAGACGGGACAAAAGGGTTCAAGAGCACCTACAGAACAGGAAGAGACAGATCTCCCACGAGAATGAATTGATCTATTTCTTCAAGGGTAAGATTCAAGTTAAACAGATGACTGATGTTGGTTATATATAAAATTATCTATAACTATTTAAGCTAGAGCGTCAATGGCTCAGGAGTCTAGCCCTTGACTTGCAATCTGCTGGTACTGTGTTCGAATCCCGCCATGTACCAATGTGTCTTTCGATTTCCGATTTGTATATGTACATTTATCCGACGTTCTTACGGTGAAGGAAAAAATCGTGATGCAACCGGCACATATCTGAGAAGAAATTCAAAGATATGTATGTGTGAAGTCAACTAACCCACACTTGACCAGCGTGGTTGACTATGGCCTAATCACCCTTAACTTAGGGTAGGCTCCTAGCCCCTCAGTGGGCACGTAGTAAACTGATGACGATGACTATTTTAAATCAACTATTACCACATTAATTCTTCGTAAATAGGAACATTATGCAATAAACATTAGCAACGGACGTTGACGTTCAAAAATTCCGTTGCCAGCAATAGTGATGTTTGTCCGGTTTTTAATCTAATTACATCTTGAAATGACAGAAGATGAATCACTAGACACGAGGAATCCTCGTTAGTACACATAAAATTAATTTAAAAATGTCCAACAAATTTTTCATCCGCCAAAATTTCTCGGACTTTGGATGCATAAATTAAAATAAGATAAAGTTGACAATTAATTTAATTAACACGCCCGAGGAAACTTGTATAACACAGATTAAAAACCTAAAAATCCTTAGAAACAAATGCAAGACGATGAATAAATAAGAAAAAAGCATTCGAATACGCGTATGTTTTTTTTATCAAATTATAATGGTCACGTAATCATCACATCGCTTGGAATAAAAAAAAGTTGCGTAGTCAAAAGCTGCTGGTAACTGAACCGTCGATTGAATGGAATAGTGTACATACGCTTTTTGTTAAAACCCAAAATATAACAAAACGGTGCCGTGACTACGTGATTCGCGATGCCAACTTCATTTAGCAATCCCGTGTAGACGTCTACATTGCTTTTATGTTGCAAAACGCACCGAATTTCTTATGTTTTCAATTATAAAAAAAATACGTACGCGCGGAATTAATAAAAAAAAACTAATTAGTAGTCTATATGTTCTTCCAGCCTATGTTCTTCATCTATGGCAAATTTCATTGACATCCTTTCGGCCGTTATGGACATACCTTGAAATAAACATCCGTCCATGCATCCATCTATCCATCCGTCCAAACATTTGCATTTATGATATTAGTAAAATAGTAAGAAGAAAGATCTAACGAACATGTTATATGAAAAGTATTTATAAATCACAGCAAATATGTTTCTTATTATTAGCTGTTTAAAACATGGAAGATGTAAAAAACGAGTCAGATATTTTACGGTGTTTTCCTAAGCCATTTTTAAATACATATAGGATAATCAAACACAACTATCTTCACTGTAGGTGACAACACAGTTTCTTACGAATAGATTAAATGTTCTATATCAAAATTGCTGTATCAAATATCTGCACACATAACTTACCTCGGAGTTTGTATAAAAACATCGCTTATACAAATTGTAGCTAACATTTTCCATGTGTTCTTTAATTTAAAAATTACTATTCCAAAGAGGCGTATAGTTGAAAAAAAAAACTAACGACGTCTAAAGAGTTTTTTTTCAAAGGCCGGTGTTAATTAATTAAATACGGCAAAATAAAAGTTAAAAAGGCAGATTAGTTGCGGTCGGAATACTTGAATAGACGTTTTGATTTATGTAAATTATTAAGTACTTAAGAATAAACGGGAAACATTTTAATTAAAATATAGTACTATTTTTAAGAGCGTCGGTGGCTCAGTGGTCAAGCACTTGACTTGCAATCTGCAGGTCCTGGGTTCGAATCCCGCCATGTACCAATGTGTTTTTTGATTTCCGATCTACAAATTTACATTTATCCGACGTTCTTACAGTGAAAGAAAACATCGTGATGCAACCTGCACATATCTGAGAAGAAAGTCAACCAACCCGCACTGGGTCAGAGTGGTTGGCTATGGCCTAATCACCCCTAACTTAGGGTAGGCTCCGAGCCCCTTGGTGAGGACGTATAGTGAGCTGATGATGATGATGATAATACTTTTTTCTCGAGAGTTGGAAGATTTTTTATTCATATTGAGATATATATATATTTTAAAAACAAACAACACGATTAACTAAATCGTGGGTTTCTGAGACCATATTACTAATTTTAAAGATATTGTTATCACTATTATCAAATATAATGATAGGGATTGATTTATAAAAGAGATTTTGGCCTCAGAAACCAACGGTCAGTGTTCGTAATGCAATTTAAGAGTCGCAAAAACGATTTCTTGTTTCCCACAAATCGCTATAAACAATTAACCTATAAAAAGCTTTGTAATAATGAGAAGTTTGCACGTTATTTGATTTAATAAACTAATAATAAACTTCGTTTTTAAACTTAAATATGGTTCCGCAGAAAGGTAACGCAAAAACCTCATTCCGTATACAACTAGAAGCTTTTAAATTTAATATTAATTAAAACATATAACTTTTAGGAGTTCCGAAGCTACCTCGCTATACGTACATTACCATTTGCTAGTAAGGCGGGCCATGTTTTATTATTTATGAGAGCCTCATGCAATATGACACATTATGAATATTAATATACAAAAACCAGCTCATTAAAGCTATTAAAAATTATTCCACAATTTCATTGACCACGAGATTATATTATTAATGATAGAATAAAATAGGAATATATTAAAATTAGTTACATTTACGTTTACATTAACAAATAGCTTCTAGAGATCATTATAATTTGTTTATAAAACTTTCCCACGGTTACATTTACAATTTTTTAGACAAATATAATAGTCATTTGTATTACGAGCGATGTACAAAAAAAGAATCACGTATTTATAATAAAAATCTTAATGTATTTAAAAGGATCAGAATTTATCTTTGATGTTGTGATATAGGTCAATAACCTAATCACTATTTTATTAATTATTATTGAAACAGTATATTGAAATAACATTGGTAGAGCGAGCTTTAACATCTTTGCACGAATTGTCCCGGCTCGTCCGGTGAAATACCACGACCATACAGAAGACAGGCGTGAAGTGGAAGCAATTCCGCGTTTCGTCTGATGAGTGTGCGTCCCGGAGGCCTAATTTAGTCCTCTTTCCCTTCCCACCCTTTTTCTTATAAGGAGATGATGGGAAGTGTAAGTTGATTTTCCGGATGAGATGATGCATGCATGTAGGCAACGCATATGCAATTGCGTTTGTCTATGGGCAACGGTCACTTCGCTATTACAGCGATTTCAAATGTTGCCTTATGATATAAAAAATGACTAATTACTAATACTTACATGTGGGACGCGATCTGTTTGGCCGTGTTAGAGGTATCCAAGGTCTTTGTGGTGGCAGAGTTGCGGTGACTGAAACAATAAAAGAAAAAAAAATTAATAATTTACGTTAACAAACACACATAATGATTTCGTAACACTTACGGAATGAAATCGTCAAAAAAATGAGATATGGGTATTATTAAACATGTATTGCGACAGTGGAAACTCATTGGAAGATGTCTCTTTTGGTTACAGCATACTTTTATATTTTGCTTTCTCATTTTGTTAATCCTTTAAACACGCCCGAACAATAGAAGAAATAAATGAAACCATTCAAATATAATGTACAGTTATTGTAGAATCCAGATCAAATCAAGAAATAAAAATAATTAATAATTTACAATCAATTTGAAGTGAAAATGGATTGTGATAAAATCGATATTCGTGCGTTTATCCATGGGTGTAAATTTATTTAGAATGTCTTCGCAATCAGCGCTCGCTCGAAATCATATTTTTGTGGGACAAAAAAAAATCCATTACATTTTGTAAATTTCTTTTCCTCGTCGCTACGGTTTATCGTGGCTGAATAATGAACAATCTATAACGAGAAAATTAAACTTCAGTTTAAAACTGGGTAAAAAGTTGAAATAAACAATTTTCTGTATTTTCGATTAAAGATCTCATCAAATGATATTTGAAATGGTTTGCGAAAATTTTTTTAGCGAGTCGAAAAATATAAATAAACCTCGTTGTTTTGTTTACATTTATTTATTAATTACCGCGAACATTGAATTCAAAATATATTTAAATGAATATAAAGGATATATGCAAACATGGCGTTGAATTTGAATTGGCCGTAGCGAATTTAAGAAATAAAAAGTGATCCGTCAATTAATAAAAAAAACTCGACTCGAACAAAAAAGAAACTCGTCAACGAAGTCAGTTTATTAACATAGTTGTATTTATAAAGTAAATTAATCAATTTTTATGTCTTATCACTAGAAGATGACAATCATTGGAAATTAAAAGACATTCTGCGATACTTCTAACTCTAAGCATATGTCGTCTTTATGGCCTGCATTCAATTCAATTTATCCATTTTTAAACCGCATCCATACGTATTTAACTACTATATTGATTTATGTATTGAAACTGTACTTATCGAGTGTAGACTTTGCTTAAAACGGACTTTAGTCACCGAACCATTTGGTTATGTAATGCGCTCGCAAGCCAAGAAAAGGCTAGACTATTCGGTTTCTTGCTTCGAATTTAACACGTATATGGTAAAGCATTTGTTGTTGGGATATTTCTCGGTTTATTTTCTAGTTGCGCCGCGCATGTTAGTTTCAGATTAGAAATGCAAATGTTTTATCCAAATAGCGAATGCTCAAGTTCGCAGGTGGTATGAATCCATAGCGGTTTGAAGATAGAGGGGATAATTGCTAGATAAATCTGCCACGGCCGCGCGAGCATGAACAGAAAATATTAAAAGTTTGCGTCTGCTGATATGAAATACATATCTATTAACAGTTGGCAAAAAACGCGATTTGAACTCTGGCTGCGTCGATCTGATTGTAGATAAGATGAAATGTGTTTGTTGTTTTGACGGAGAGTTTGGCCGTCAGCGGACAATCCAGGTCTTCGTGTCTGAGCAGGTGGGTGTTAGACACCGTTCAGCTAAATATTAATACTGTAATCATGTCTGTAACAGCTTCTTTTCAGATCTAGATAAGGCTGCCTGCATTCCAATTGTCTTTATGAATGCAAATGGTAATATTATGAAAATTCGCGAAATTCCTACCTGTATTTAAGTCCGCAATGCACATTGCATCAAACAGATTTTACGATTAAGATGTAATAAACGTCGTGTTACACTAAAAAGATATCTCTTTCTTCAAGAATATTAATAAGAAAGTGCAGGAGAAAGCACTAATGTGTAGTAAATGTTGAAAATATGAAATAAATATAGTAAAAAATCAGATTGATAACTAACTGATAATTATAACATAATTATTTTCGTTAAATCTTTAAAGGCTAAAGTTAAAGTGTTAAAAAAGGACAACACAGTACAGTGTGTTCTACAACTGCAGCGCTGTACTTTCCCATGAATCACCTTTCAATTGTAAGGAAAAACGCGGTTGTTCCACATGCCATGTTACCAAAAGAACTAAATATTTCTTCAAACCCCTGGGATTCGCCAAATTACGGATACAAAAACATAAACATCTGTTTAATTCTTTTAAAAATAAACAGAGTAAACGACTCTTTTATTAAGGGGTTTTTCTGTAATAAGTTATGGTACACGATATAAATAATTTAATCTGATTGTTGAACATATTGAGCATCGTGATTTGGGAGTGTTCTCAAGCACGTCAAAGGGGCGGAGGCGTCGAGCCCGCACGACGTACCGTCGCCTCATTACAATTTGTAATTAAGGCCGCGAGGGGAGCTTTGTCGCTTTCCGCCGGATTAGTCCGTTGGCCTTTTAGCTTTTAGTATATTACGTTTATTATTTCATCAAAAATAATCCGTTAAAGCGTTTTGTTTTTTTAAATATTATTTACAAATAAGAAATGCAATTGTGACAACAAAATCATAACTACACTATAGTAGAAGACTTCTGTATATCCTATTTTTAATCGCATATTCATCACAACTGAAGCAAAGCATATCTGCCAGTTTAAATTAAATCACAAGCTTTAGCATACGAAACAGTCAACGCCCAATCGTCGCTCTGTTTCATAATGCATTTACAAGTCTCGAGTACTGTCCACAAAGCGAAACGATACTCAAGCGATTGGAAATCTGACATGAATTCACTTACATAATATTTGGTTAATATCAAGATACCATTATGCATAACATCACTAAGAGAACGCAAGTCTATTATGGAGAAAACTCCACTTTCTAATTATGCTTTGTTTTTGTCTTGTGAGTTCCTTAAGCCACGACTTAGTGTAGCTAAGCCCTTATTTAAAAATAAAGAAAGTACACAGACGTCAGTAGTCGGATGTATCTTTTACATATTTTGTGGTAAACAATACGTAAGGGTCGTTCACACTGAACGCTGTCGCACCATCGATCAACCGTGTCTGTGTAACTCTAAACGAAACCGAATACGTTAATAAATGAATATTGAGCTTATTGTGTTTGTAATACAGATCGTATGCGGTGTTACTGAACTGCGTCGTAACGGATACGTAAGGCAATCGATAGGCCCGATACTTGTGCAAGAAAGTGTACTTTAATAACCTCAATTTGTATACGACGAGAAACATGTACATTTATCCTACGTTGTTACTATGAAGGAAAACATCTTGATGCAACCTGCACATATCCAAGAAGAAATTCAAAACTATGTACAAAATCAACCTACCCGCACTAGCCAGCGTAGTTGACTATGGCCTAGTCACCCCTAACTTAGGATAGGCTCCAAGCCCCTTAGTGGTGACCTTATGTTGATGAGAAACATGTACGTCTATCAAGTTTTAGTAACGAAACATACAATAACGAACTACATATAGCTTATCATAATTGTTTCTACGCATACTTTCTATTAATGCAAGATACGTAAAATCCAAGCCGACTTGTATAATCGGGTGCAGAGTTATCAGTCAAAACATCAAGTGAAAGTAATGATAGTCATCCAGCTAAATTGTTAGCTTGTAGATATAGACAAGCCTGCAATACCGTGTGACTGACTTTCATTGGCCAGTAGTCTATCAGGGATCACTTAGAATGCCAAGTTTCGAAGTTCGCAGTGTTATTGTGCGAGATGCGCTCGCGATGCATAAATATTTCTCTGCGCGGTTTCTTTATTATCGCGATGTACTCGTGGCACGAGCGCTGTAGAAATCGCGAAAGCGTTAGTATGTGCAACATGTGAATGTGTTCATCTATGGGACGGTTCAGACAATATGACGACATCTAATATATCGTGGCATTTGTAAAAGTGCTCAAGTTGAGAACATTATTATATTCTATTCTGTTTTTAGCAGATTCAATTTTATTTATTTATTAGCTGTCGCCCGAGACTATCTACGTAGGATTTAAAACTTAATTAGTTGCCTATGTATTCTTCCTGTTATATTTTACATTTACGCAACATTTCAGCGAGTTCCATGTAGCCGTTCTTTAGATATCTAATGACAAATATCCATCAATCGATTCATCTAAATTTTCACACATTTATAATATTAGAAAACATAATCCACTGCACTCTTTCTCTGCTAAACCAATTGAGTAACATCTATTAATACTACATATATAATACTATATAAGAAGCAATAAAAAAAACAGTTCATTTATTTCGTAATTTACGTATAAATTAACAATAAACTAAAACCACTTGTTACGTAAACAAAATGAGTAATTAAAACTAAATATAAATCAATTCATACAACATCGCAACAAGAATACGATACATTTAAAGAGAATGTGAGAGGCATATCAGAGATGGTTTATAATTTGCACGCGAGCCATTAACTGTTGCAAGCAGACGGCAAGGAGCCGAAGGGAACCGGTATCGCGTTACAACAGCAAAACTGTTCCAACACACAACTATAGATACTTTAATACTAATACTTCGACTAATGGATTTTAATAATAAACGGCGACATTTGTCTGTATGTCTTATTAATCTTACTAAAATTATACATGCGAATGTTCAGATGGATGTTTGTTTCAAGTTATCTCCAGAACGTCTGAACGGATTAGCCTGAAATTTGTCATAGACGTAGAACATTGTCTGGAAGAACACGTAGGCTACTAAGTTTTTTTTCAATTCCACGCGGACGGAGTCGCAGGCGACAGCTAGAGTTTATAATAAACGACATTTGACTGTGTATTTTAATAAATAATCGAGAAATTTCCGAAATTTTTCAAAGGAAATATCGTCTAGTATACACGTATGGGATAATATTTCTTTTTTTACGAAGGTAATGCGAGAGATATTATGGAAAACATAATAAAAAAGATTACGTACACTGTAAATTAAGTAAAACATACATCAATAGAGTAACGTAAAGTATTTTGGCCATAAGTTGGTTACTAGACGAAAATATCTTGCTAATCTTACTTAGAATATTTACACATGG